GCTCAGTCAGTCATTTTACTTTCATCTTTCTAGTGAGACTTAATGTTTCTTAGAGGTAATAGAGCCTAGTAACATAATAACATAACGTAATAAGGGATATTTCTGCTTTTAAGAAGGCTTTGGTCCAAGCCTCTTTCAGTGTGAGAGAGAATATGCCTCCTTTTTTGTCTAGTGAGAAACATTTAGCACCTGGTTTGCATTTTAATAGAAACTATGAGTTGCAGCTCTCTTCACGATATTCAGGGTTAGTACCGACCTTGACTAGATTCCAAGTCTTTCTTAGATATATCAGGATTCTGTAGGGAGTCCAGTTAATTTCAAGTTGGTTTGTGTTGTTAAGATAAATAACAAACAGAAAGTTTCTAGGCTCTCTAAAAGAAAACAATGCTTATTTGGGAATAGAGCATTGCTACGTGAATTTGCATACCACAGTAAACTGTATGTATTCAGGGAGAGAAAGAAAGAAAAGTTTTTAAAGTAAAAATGAGGAGGATTATGTAAATGTTTTGAAATGATTATCCTTAGCTACGAAAATCAATAACAAATGTAGCACCAGTCTAAGGTTGTACAGTGAGAAGATACAGTTTATGGAAAGCTACTTCATTATAGAGTAGGGCATCCTCAGAAAGCAAGCAGAGGCATGTACTGTCTTTAAGTTTTTCTTATGTAGGGGTCTTGTCTATGTAAAGGCCAAACTAAGCTGTGCCTACATGTGGGTGAGCAGACAGCATGACAAAATTTATTATACTGTTGATTTAAGGAAAATGATTCTTGACATTTTAGTGTGTAAGTAAAGCATAACTATAATTATTTTGAAACCATACATTGTTATGAGTATTGGGACATCTAGACTTTCTGCTGTCGTAGGAGTGCGTCCTTGTAGGTTTTCCTCAACTGTAAACATCTTATGACCATGGGTCATGGCTGGCAAGGAAGGTGCCTGGTTAGTCTCAAAATGAAGTGGAACTTAAGATGGTGTCATCCTGGGCTCCTGCTTCCCTGACAACCTTACTGACTTACCAAACACTATGTATTGTATCTTCTATCTAACTATATTTTTGTGCCCATTAGTCAACCTCTCTTTATTCCCTCTTCCCCCATCCTTCTCAGTCTCTGGTAACCATTCTTCTCCTCTCTACCTCCATGAGATCCACTTTTTTAGCTCCCACGTATGAATGAGAACATGCAATATGTGTCTTTCTGTGCCTGGCTTATTTCACATAACATAGTGACCCCCAGTTCTGCCCATGTTGCTGCAAATGACAGGATTTCATTCTTTTTTGTGGCTGAATAATATTCTATTGTGTATACATACCACAGTTTCTTCATGCATTGATAGGTACTTAGGTTGATTCCATATTTTGGCTATCGTGACTAATGCTACAATAAACATGTGAGCACAGATATTTCTTTGATGCGTTGGTTTTTTTGGTATATACCCAGTAGTGGGATTGCTGTCTTCTATGGTAGCTCTATTTTTAGTTTTCTGAGGAACCTCTAAACTGTTCTCCATAGTGACTGTACTAATTTACATTCCCACCAACAGTGTATGAGGGTTCCCCTTTCTCCACATCCTTGCCAGCACTCATTATTCTTTGTCTTTTTTTTCTTTTCTTTTTTTTTTTTTTTTTTTGGGATGGAGTCTCACTCAGTCACCCAGCCTGGAGTACAGTGGCACAACCTTGGCTCACTGCAACCTCCGCCTCCCAGGTTCAAGTGATTCTCCCACCTCAACCTCCAGAGTAGATGAGATTACAGGCGCCCACCACTATGCCCAACTAATTTTTGTATATTTAGTAGAGACGGGGTTTCATCATGTTAGCCATGCTGGTTTCAAACTCCTGACCTTAGATGATCCACCTACCTCAGCCTCCCAACGTGCTGGGATTACAGGCTTGAGCCACCACACCCGGCCTCTTTGTCTTTTTAATAAAAGCCATTTTAACTAGGGTGAGAGGATATCTCGTTGTGGTTTTGATTTGCATTTTTTCCATAATTAGTGATGTTGAGCATTTTATTTTATACCTGTTGGCCATTTGTCTTCTTTTGAAAAATATCTACTCAGATATTTTTCTCATTTTTAATTGGATTATTTGTTTTTCTGCTGTCGAGTTGTTTGAGCTCCTCATATATTCTGGTAATTAATTCCTTGTCAGTTGGATAATTTGCAAATAATTTCTCCCAGTAGATGGGCTGTCTCTTCTCTTTGTTGATTGTCACTGCTGTGCAAAGGCTTTTTCACTTGATGTAATCCTATTTGTCTGTTTTTGCTTTTGTAGCCTGTGCTTTTGAGATCTTACTCAAGAACCTTTGCCCAGACTGATGTCCTGAAGCATTTCCTCATTGTTTTCTTCTAGTAGTTTCATAGTTTAAGGTTTTGGATTTAAGTCGTTGATCCATTTTGATTTGCTTTTTCTATGTGCTTAAAGATAGGGGTCTAGTTTCATTCTTCTGCATGGGGTTATCTAGTTTTTCAGCACCGTTTGTTGAAGACACTGTCTTTTTCCCAGTGTTTGTTCTTGGCACCTTTGTAGAAATGAGTTGGTTGTGAATACATGGATTTATTTCTGGGTTCTCGATTCTGTTGCATTGTTCTGTGTGTCCTTCCTTCCTTCCTTCATCTCTCTCTCTCTCTCTCTCTCTGTCTTTTTTTCTTTCTGACAGGATCACACCTTGTCACCCACACTAGAGTGCAGTGGCGTGATCATAGCTCACTGCAGCCTCTAACTCCTAGGCTCAAGCAGTCCTCCAGCCTCAGCCTCCTGAGCAGCTAGGGACAACTAGTACACGCCACCATGCCCAGCTATTTTTTTTTCTTTTTTGTAGACATAGGGTCTCAGTATGTTGCTAAGGCTGGTCTCAAACTCCTGGCCTCAAGTGATCTTCCCACCTCAGCCTCCCAAAGTGCTGAGAATACAGTCGTGAGCCACTGCACCTAGCCTTATGTGTCTGTTTTTCCCCAAGTACCATGCTACTTTGGTTACCATTGGTTTATAACATGTTTTGAAGTCATGTAGTGTGATGCCTCCAGCTTTGTTCATTTTGCTCAGGATTCCTTTGGCTATTCAGAGTCTTTTGTGGTTTCATGTAAATTTGGGGACTGTTTTTTCTATTTCTGTGAAGAATGTCATTGGTATTTTGATAGGAATTTCATTAAATCTGTAGATTGCTCTGGGTAGTATTGACATTTTGACAATATTAATTCTAATCCATGAGCATACAATATCTTTCCTTTTTTTTTTTTTTTTTTATATGGAGTCTCACTCTGTCAGTCAGGCTAGAGTGCAATGGTGGAATCTCAGCTCACTGTAACCTCTGCCTCCCAGGTTCAAGCGTTTTGTCCTTTTTTTTTTTAAGTGGAGACACGGTTTCACCATGTTGGCCAGTCTGGTCATGAACCCTTTCCATTTTTAAAATGTCCTCTTCAATTTCTTTCATCAGTGTGTTGTAGCTTTTCTAAGATAGATCTTTCACTTATTTGGTTAAATGTATTCTAGGTATTTTATAATTCATGTAGCTATTGTGAATGGGTTTGCCTTCTTGATTTCTTTTTCAGAGCATGTGCTGTTAGTGTATATAAATACTATTGATTTTTGTATGATTATTTTGTATCCTGCAACTTTACTTAGAATTCATTTTTCAGTTCCAACTAAATTCATTTATCAGTTCCAACATTTTTTTGTGGAGTCTTTAGGGTTTTCTAATTATACACTCGTGTTGTCTGTGAACAAGGATAATTTGACTTCTTCCTTTCTGATTTGGATGCCCTTAATTTATTTCTGTTTTCTAATTGTACTGGCTAGGAATTCCAGTACTGTGTTGAATAGGGATGGCGACTGCGGACATCTTTGTCTTGTTCCAGTTCTTTTTTTTTTTTTTTTTTAACTTTAAACAAATTTTTATTACACTAAGGTTGTCACACAATTGGATATTTCTCTACTTTGTACACAGTTATTCTCACTCTCCACAGAAAGGCTGCTTAAATTCTCCTCTGGTGGTGGCAAGCCCTAAAATCCCGATTTTAACAGAATAGTATTAAAAATGCCTCAGTGATTTAAGTTGAAAGCAGTACATTGGTACATGGCTTTTGCACCCAGTATTAGGAATATACAAATGTCTTTTTATCCAAAAATACAAATAAATTATCTGTAGGCATAGACAATGACAGCAGTCAAACATTATATATTTGTCACTTGAAACCAGTAACTGATCATTATAGTGATTTCCTGAACATCAGCTAGCCTTTTCTTCAGTCATTTTCTCCAGCTTCTCTGAAGTTATTGGTAAGGAACACTGCCTTGGACTTCCTGCCATAGTTCATTAATTGAAGTAAAGCACTATTCTAATAATTAGAACTTGCCACCTCCCATAACATCTCCCATTCTACCCATTGTACCCATTACAGGGTCCTTCTCCTTTTTTAGGGATTTCTGTGACTACAACTTCTGCTGTAGTTAACAGAGAGGCCACCCCAGCAGCATCCAATAAAGCACTTCTCACAACCTTTGTTGTTTCAGTAATTCCTTTTTCCACCATATTCACAAAATCTCTGACCATGGCATCATAACCAACTTCTGAGGAACTACATAATTTTCTCAACTATCAAAGATCCTTCAACACCTGCATTTTTAGCAATGGTCATTTCAGGAATTTTGAGTGTTCTCTTAATAATTTCTGTACCAATTTTTTGATCTTCATTAGCTGGAGTCAATGAGTCCAAGGCACCAATGCACCAAAGTAGGGTACAACCCCCTCCCAGAACAATGCCTTCTTCCACAACAGCTCTTGTAGCATTAAGGGCATCTGTAACTCTGTCTTTCTTTTCATTCACTTCAACATCACTTGTCCCACCAACCTTCAGCACAGCTACTCTATCTGAAAGTTTTGCCAGCCGTTCATTCAGTTTTTCCTTTTCATATTCACTAGTTGTGACATCCAACTGCTCAATGATTCCTTGAATTCGTTTTTCAATTTGAGCCTTGTCACCTTTTCCTTTTAAGAACATAAGATCATCTTTGATCACAGTGACCTCTTCAACTTCTCCTAAGACATGAGGCTGAACATCTTCGAGATTTAAAGTCAACTCCTCTTCTTCAAACAGTGCGCCACCAGCAGCAATAGTTACACTGTTAAGCTGGTTCTTTCTACTGTCACCAAACCTTGGAGCTTTGACTGCTACAACCTGAAGACCAACTTTCAGCCTATTCAAAATGAGTGTACTTAGAGTTTCTCCATCAACATTTTCAGCAATTATGACCAAAGGCTTATGGTGAGCATGGGCAATTTCAAGAGCAGGTACAATGGGCTGGACGCTAGAAATTTTCTTTTCACTCAGTAGAACATAAGCATCCTGGAATTCACATTTCTAACCTTTTGATATATTAATAAAGTATGGAGAAATACATCCTCAAACTTTCATGCCTTCAATAATTTTTTTTCTTTTTTTTTAGATGGAGTCTCGCTCTGTCACCCACGCTAGAGTGCAGTGGCACAATCTCAGCTCACTGCAACCTCTGCCTCCTGGGTTCAAGCGATTCTCCTGCCTCAGCCTCCCGAGTAGCTGGGACTACAGGCGCATGCCACCACATCCGGCTAATTTTTTGTATTTTTAGTAGAGACGGGGTTTCACCGTGTTAGCCAGGGTGGTCTCAATCTCCTGACCTCATGATCTGCCCGCCTCCGCCTCCCGAAGTGCTAGGATTACAGGCGTGAGCCACCGCACCTGGCCTCGTGCCTTCAATAATTTCTAATTCATCAGTAGTGTTTTTCCATCTTTACTGTGATGAAACCCTTTCTTTTGAGTTTTTTCATTGCATCAGAAATTAGGTTGCCAATTTCTTTGTCTCCATTTACAGACATTGTAGCAACCTGAGCAATTTCTTCAGGGGTGGTCACAGGTTTAGACTGCTTTTTAAGTTCAGCAGTTACAGCATCAACAGCTAACATCACACTTCTCTTGATTTCCACTGGATTAGCACCTTTGCTAAACTTCTTGAAGCCTTTCTTGGCAACAGTAGCAGTGGTAGTGCCATCCCCAGCCTCTTCATTTGTGTTATTGGCAACATCTTGAACAAGTTTAGCTCCGATATTCTTATATTTATCCTTTAAGTCAATGGACTTTGCAACAGTCATACCATCTTTTGTTACTTTGGGACTTCCCCAGTTCTGCTCAATAATCACTGTTTTTCCCTTTGGCCCCATTGTAATGGCTACAGCAGTGGGTAAAAGGTCTACACTTTGAAGCATTAAGACTCAGGCATCTGCACCAAGAATTTTACATCTTTGGCATAAACCCAAGTGAGATGAGGAGCCAGAACCCTCAGCACTGCTCTCATCTGACGAAAGACTGCAGGTAATTGAAGCATTTCTGCAGGGTGGTGGCAGGGCTTGCACACGCTGATACGGGCTGTCGGTGGTGAGTGAGGGAGCTTGTTGTATTTCTTAAAGGAAAGGCTTTCAGCTTTTCCTCGTTGAGTATGATGTTAGCTGTGGGTTTGTCATATATACCCAGTTTGTGTGTATTTTTACCCACAACGTGTTGAGCATTTTTTATCATAAGGGAACGTTGAATTTTATTGAATGCTTTTTCAGCATCTATTGAAATGATTACATGCCTTTTGTTCTTGATTCTGTTGACATGATGTATCACACTTGTTATTGATTTATACATGCTGAACCATCCTTGTATCCCCGGGATGAATCCCACTTGATCATGGTAAATGACCTTTGTAATGTGTTGTTGCATTCAGTTTGCTAATATTCCATTGAGGATTTTTGCATCTATGTTCATCAAGGATATTGGCCTGTAGTTTTCTTTTTTTTTAATTGTGTTCTTGTCTGGTTTTGGTATGTCAGGTTTGTGTGTGTGTGTGTATGTTTAACATTAGTGACTCCATTTTGATTCTGACAACTTTCACAGTAGTTACTGAAATAATAATCTAAGATAGATAATTTTTTTCATTATTTCTATTTTTTCTTCTGAGACGGGGTCTCATTCTGTCACCTAGGCTGGAGTGCAGTGATGCCATCATGGCTCATTCCAGCCTTGACCTCCTGGGCTCAAGCAATCCTCCCATCTCAGCCTCCCAAGTAGCTGGGACTACTGGCATGTGCCACTGCACCTGGTTAATTTTTTAATTTTTTTGTAGAGATTGAGTCTCCCTATGTTGCCCAGGTTGATTTCAAACTCCTGGGCTCATGCAATTCTCCCGTCTTGGCCTCCAAAACTGCTAGCATTACAGGCTTGAGCCATTGCACCCAGCCAATAGATCACTTTAAATTCATCTTCAAGAATGGTTCTAAAGCTTTACAACCATGTAATTTGTTCAAATTGTTTTTTGTTTCTATAAAGGCTCAAGGTTGACCAACACTTAAAACACTATGACATAGAGTAGGAGAAAATATTTGCAAAAGACATATCTGATAAAGGACAGCTATCCGAAATATGCAAAGTATTAGAACTCAACAATAAGAAAAGCAACAACCCCACTAAAAAACAGGCAAAGGACCAAAGGAACAACCCCACTAAAAAATAGACAAAGGACCTGGACAGACACCTCACCAAAGAAGATATGTGGATGGCAAATATGCATGTGTAAGGATCCTGAAAATGATATTGCATTAGGAAATTGCAAATTAATGCCACAATGAGATATTGTTACACACTTATTATAATGGCCAAAATCTAAAACACTGACAACAAATGCTGATGAGAATGTGCAACAATAGGAACTCTCATTCATTGCTGATGGGAATGCAAAATGGTACAGCTACTTTGGAAGACAGCTGGGCAATTTCTTACAAAAGCTAAACATACTTTTACCATACACTCCAACAATAGTGCTCTTTGGTATTTACTCAAATGAGTTGAAAACCTGTGTCTACACAAAAACCTGCACACTGATATTTATAACAGCTTTGTTCATAATTGCCAAAATTTAGAAGCAATCAAGATGTCTTTCTCTGGGTGAATGGGTAAATAAATTGTGGTACATCCAGAAAACAGAAGATTATTCAAAACTAAAATGAAATTGGCTATCAAGCCATGAAAAGACATGGGGAAAACTTAAATGCATATTGCTAAGTGAAAGAAGCCAATCTTAAAAGGCTATGTACTGTATGATTCTAACTATATGACATTCTGGAAAATGCAAAACTATAGAGACAGTAAAAAGAACCGTACTTGCCAAGGGTTAAGGAGGAATGAGAGATAAGTAGATGGAACATGGAGGATTTTTTACAACAGTGAAACTATTGTTTATGATACTAAAATGGTGGATACATGTCCAAAGCCATAGAATATAAAACGTCAAGAATGAACTCTAATAAGCTATGGATTTTGGATGATAAACACGTATAAATGTAGTATAAATGTAGGTTTGTTGATTGTAACAAATGTACCACTTTCTTGTAGGAGACTGATAGTTGTCTACATGTGTGTGTCAGGGGGTGCAGGGTATAGATGGGAGCTCTCCGTACTTTGTACTCAATTTTGCTGTGAACCTAAAACTTCTCTAAAAGATAAATTTTATTTTGAAAAACACCATCATACACTAAAACTTTTTTGTCCTTATTTGGTAATGCTTACAAATAGAATTTTATTAAAATTATATTTAAACGTAGAGTCAAAAGATATGCATGTTTTAGTGAAATATCTTCTATTATTATTACTATCATCATAGTTATTATTATTTGACTTGGAAATCCTCAGTAGACATTATGAATTTAGAGATCAGTAATGTTCATTTTGAAAAAGACATATAAATCGCTTTTGTGTCTTTTTCATTTTCAATTTTTCAAGGATAAAATTGCTTCTTGTTCTTTTGATGTTACTATGATTAAGAGTCTTGTGCTGTAATGATCTCAGTTAAAAATAGTAAAACGAATCTCTTCAGTATTGTGGTGGACTCTGCACAGTAAATGCAACAGGAGGCAGGGTCACCTGCCCATATAGCTTTGTTTGTATCAGCCAGTCGAAATGTCAAGGTGGTTCCTTATCCACTGGATAATTTCACAATCCTCCTCTTAATTTGGTTGCTTTGGACACATTCTATCCTGGAAACAAAATCTAGGTTTCATAATACATTCGGAAATAATAGATTCATGTTCTTTTTTTCCAGCTGGTACTGGTAGAGTTTACACATTTACTCCTGCACCATAGGAACAGCTGCTTAAAAAGCTGAAGTGTGTATTTGATTCCATTACATTGGCACAATAGAAAGTCACGTAAAAGACGGAGACTCTCTCAGTTTCTCCATATTTGGAAAATTAATTCCTTTAAGTGCGTTAAAAAAATCTCTACAGGTGGTCACATTCTATGAACTTAGGACCAGAAATGACCTCATCACCTTCAGCTGGTCTAAAAATTGTCTTTGGCTGCTGCACGCTTCACAAAATCTTGTTAATTATGATTGTTTTTCCTAGTTATAAGTCCTTCTGGATACGTTTTTATAAAGCATTTATTTTTATCACTTACATAACTACATAAAATATTTTCATTGGTGTCAAAATGTCATGTTATTGCCAAACACATTCCATTTCAATTTCTAGAAATTATTGGAAAGTTAATACCCACACTTTAATGGCACCCTTGCTGTAGTATTAAATCATGCTTTACTGAAATTCACAAGAATCATAATTACACTGCATCTATCCAGAATAAAGCACTAGAACAGTTACTTTTTGACCATCTTGTCCGTTAATTACTATGCATGCACCTTCTCTTTAGACAAACAATAAATGAAATTTAGTGTCTTTCTAGAACTGAGTTTTCATGAAAGTGATTGTCATATATATACTCATCATCTACTTCTCTTTTCAGCACAGTAATATTTTAGTTCAAGAATCGGTAAGTGAATCTTTTCCCTGGCTTATAGAACTTCACCCTATTTATTTCTATTTCAAGAAAAGTAAAAAACATTTTAAAAAGTAAAATTAGGCAAGAAAATTGTCTTGCTAGCTAGGCATTTGGTTTCTCCTTAGATTTGTTATTTAAGAAAACTCAGTCTCCCTAGACATCATTTCAAGAATATAATTGTTTAGCTGCAAAGCTATAGTTTTGGGTAGAAAATTCCCTTTGAGGGTTGCACATTGAACCCATATTTAGAGAACCTGAGAAATGAGCTTTCAGCAGTAATCACATTTACTCTTCTCCCCACAGCCTGGGGTGTCTGGAAGAACATCCTCCACCAGGAACGCTGGAGGATGACTGAAGGGCTGAGTCTGATCCAGTTTGCCAGAATAGGTCCATCACCCTGAGGCCCTTTTTTGCCTAGGTCCTGCATATTCCATGCTATGGACGGAATTACGTCCCTGTAAAATTCGTATTTTGAAGCCTTAACCCCCAGTGTCATGGTATTTGGAGATGGGGCCTTTGGGAGATAATTAAGTTTAGACAAGGTCATGAGGCCATGGCCTCACCATGGGATTAGTACTGTTAAAAGAAGTGGCACCAGAGAGCTTGCTGTGTGTCTCTTTTTCTGCCATTGTGAGGACACAGGGAGAAGGCGGCCATCTGCAAGCCAGAAAGAGGGATCTAGCTCCAACCATGCTGGTGCATGAAGACTTCTGGCCTCCATAACTGTGGAAATAAATGTCTGTTGTTGAGCCACTCAGTCTATGGTATTTTGTTACTGCAGCATGAGCTGAGGATTGGAATTGGCCCCCAACCTAACAATGGTTCCGCTTATGCTTTTTTGACTTTATGATGGTACAAAAGTGAAAAGCATTCAGTAGAAACTCTAATTGGAGTGCCCATACGGTCATCCTGGTTTTTACTTTCAGTATAGTACTGAAAAAATTACATGAGATATTCCACACCTTATAAAATAGGCTTTGTGTTAGGTGATGTTGCCCATCTGTAGGCTGATGTAAGTATTCTGAGCGTGTTTCAAGAAGTTTAGGCTAAGCCACGATATTCTGTAGATTCGGTGTATTAAATGCATTTTAAACTTAAGATATTTTCAATTTATAATTAGTTTATTGTGACATAACCCCATCACAAGTCAAGGTGTATCTGTCCATCCCCCAAGGACAAGAGACTTGGAGCCTGAGCACACAGGGATGGTGCAAACTCGGATGTTGATCCAGGCAGTTCAGGAACACATGTTTTAAAATTGGAACTATTGCCTCAATTTTCTCTTTCAGTGTGTAAATAGAACCTCCAAATAAGATTAAATTGAAGAGAAAGTATTAAAGGGCAGTATTCCAGTGGAATCCATGAACAGTTTCCTTGCACTGACTTGCTAAGGAAGGAAAATTTTTAAAGTAGTCGTTATTCTTAAGAAAGTTAAATTTATAGTTTAAGTTATGGTATATTTTGTACTGGGCACTGTGCCTTCCTCATAATATTCTTATTAAATATTTGTTGATTTAAGATGTTTTTTACTTCATCACATGTATTTAGCAAAGAGTAAATTCTTATAAAAGAATTTTATCATATCCTTGTGACAAAGCATACTCCATGCTAAATGTGGTACTAATTACTTGAGTGTGAAGGTGAAGATTTTTCCTGGCAAATTTGGAACAACGGCTTAAAAAATAGGTACTACACAGCTGAAGAGTCTTTCTTTCCAGATTCAACTCATATACCTACTATCTTGCCTTTCCCTAAGCATATATATTTAAATTCTAGAAACCGCCACATTCACTTATTAAAGCCAAGCATGTGTCTAATACTTATTACACTACATTTTTAGTTGTATAAAATACTGCTTGGAACAAATAGTCACCCAGGACAGAGGTCCCGAACCCCTGGACCATGGACTGGTATTCATCTGTGGCCTGTTCGTAACTGGGCTGCACAGCAGGAAGTGAGTGGCAAGTAAATGAGCATTAGTGAGATCGGCGGCGGCGTTAGATTCTCATAAGAACCCTATGGTGAACTGCACGTGCAAGGGATCCAGGTGGTGTGCTTCTTATGAGACTCTAATTAATGCCTGATGATTTGAGGTGGAACAGTTTTATCCTGAAACTATCCCCTCTGCCTCCTGGCCATGGAAAAACTTGTCTTTCACGAAACTGGTCCTTGGTGCTAAAAAGGCTGGAGACCACTGATCTAGGGCATAGCTAGTTTTCGCCATAGCTATGTCATAACTAGATGTGTTGAGACAAAATCTCACCTGTAGATCTGAGTTGAGCATATGAGCCTATTTCATTGTGGTAGACAATTCTGTCTGCCGTGGTCCTCCAAAGATATTCACATCCTAATCCCCAGAATCTGTAAATATGATACCTTACATGGCAAAAGGGAGTTTGTACACATGATTAAATTAAAGATCTTGATATGGAAAGATTATCCTGGATTAACCAGGTGGGTTCAACTTCCATCCTATGAGGGAGGAAGAAAGTCAGAAATAAGAGTAGGAGATATGATGTTTGAGCAGAGGAGAGAGAAATAGAGAGATTTGAGGATGATACGCTGCTGGTTTTGTTTTGAAGATGAACGAAGGGGCCCTGAGCCAAGGAATGCAGGCCACCTCTAGAAGCTGGAAAAGGCAAGGAAATGGATTCCCCCAAGAGCCTCCGGAAGGAACACAACCATGCCAACCCGTTTTAGACTTCTGATCTCCTGAACTGTAAGATAATAAATATGTGTTGTTTTAAGCCAATAAATTTGTGATAATTTGTTATAGTAGCAATAGGAGAAGAATACAGCAAATCAACACTGATTTTATTTTCTTAACATGGTGCAACTAATACCAACTTAAAAGCAATTTAAACTTTACACACTAGTTGTCAAATTCTCTAAAGAGACAAATGTAAGTGGATATAAGAGACTAATCTTCTGACATCTATGGGCACATTGAAGACTGGGAGAACTGGTAGTGTTCACGCAGTGTTTGTCCAACCCTTTAATCCAGCACCCTCTAGACCCGTACTGTCCACCCCACCTGGAGCTACTGTGCCCTGGAATTGTATGTAGAATGTAATGAGATGTGCAGGAAGTCTAAGATACACTATGGATTTTGTAAAGAAGAGTACAAAAATACCTTGATGATTTTTGCTTTGTTTTGTTTTTGAGATAGTCTTGTTCTGTCATCCAGGCTAGAGTGTAGTGACACAATGGTGGCTCACTGCAACCTCCTCCTCCTGGGTTTAAGCAATTCTCCTGCCTCAGTCTCCCGAGTAGCTGGAACTACAGGCACGTGCCACCATGCCTGGCTAATTTTTATATTTTTAGTAGAGACGGGGTTTCCCTATGTTCCCCAGGCTGGTACAAACTCCTGACCTCAAGTGATCCACCTGCCTCAGCCTCCCAAAGTGCTGGAATTACAGGTGTGAGCCACTGTGCCTGGCAATAATTTTAAAATATTGATCACATGTTGAAATGATACTAGTTTGGATATATTGGGTTAAATAAAATATATTATTAAATTTAATTTTAACTTGTTTTAACATAATGAATGCTGCTACAAGAAAACTTACATTGCACATATAAGTCATATTTTATTTCTATTGGACAGTGTTGCTCTACACAGATGAATTCTATGTAATGATGTAATTAATATCATGTAGGTTACTTATGTCAATTGATAGATTATTGATTAATGATTAGACTGCTGCAGTTGAGAGAGTTGATGGATTTATTTATATATATATTTATGCAGTTTAAAACTAGTATCTCCATTTTTTGTAGTCATATTTTGCTAGAGTCTGACCTCTACAAATCTCAGGTTAAATTGTGCTGAGTTAAGTCAGACTTTGAAAAAACTATCTGGAGGAATGCCTAAGGAATAGTGAGAAATCCTGTTGGCAGCTCAAAGGTGGCATTTTTGGATGGCAGGAGGTAGGGTTTTCTGTGTTGGATGAAAGTGACCTTTGTGGATGTTTTGTTGCCTTTTTTTTTTTTTTTTTTTTTTAAAGGAAGGAAAGGTAGTCCATAACTATGAAGACATTGTTACTATAAAAACCTTAATTCCTTAATTTAGGTAATTTTTTTTTGGTAAAATGAAAAACGTATTTTTTCCTTTGAGTGTAGGAATGCTTACAGGGAAGACAGAATTAAAAAGAGGAGGCAGATTGCTTGGATAAAAATCACCCAATTGAAGCCATTAGGAAAGACCTAAACCTTGTGGCTCCATTAACACATGTGTGTCTGGTTAGGAATAGACTATGCTACCAGTAGAATGATGAGGTTAGAGCTTCCTAGACCACTGGCAAACTAGTTTTTTTTTTTTTTTTTTTTTTAGGGAACAAATTTATTTTGATTTTTCTGAAAATAATCAGGAACTGAAAAACAAGGTTGATATTTGGCTGTACCAAAAGCAAAGTACAACTAAAAATAGCATTTGAAAACCATGTTTAACCTTAGAGAAACATGTTTTAAAATACAAAGTTTAACATTCTTTTCTCTATAGAGCTAAACAAGTTTTCTAAACCACAAGACTGCAGGGTTTTTTTTTGTTTTGTTTTGTTTTGTTTTGTTTTTAACTGACGTAATTTTTAGAAGAAAAAACTAAAGGGGAATTAAAAAGCACTCACCTCCTACCCTGGAATCTCATCATTTATAAAATAACATGCTCAAATGTCAGTGAAAATAAACAGTTGATAAACCTGAAAACAAATCTTTTAATGAGTTCAGGTTACAACCAAACAGAGGATTTTGTAGCTGGGAAGGAACAGCTTGTATAACAACCGAGCCTTACCAAATACAAATAAATATAAAAGGCAACTAAAAACAAACTATAAAATCAAAATCTTTATGTACAGTGGCAACTTTCACAAAGTAAAAACAACTTAGTTCCACAGAGTTGCATATTCTGTAGGCATATGGTCAATTTTTTTCCACATCCTTTTGTCATGCACTATCAAAATAAAAGAATCTTTGTCATGGAGTATGTCTGCTGAAGAAGGCACCAAAATTCTATCCTCCCTATTCCCCTAAATAATATTAATAAACCTCTTATCAATCTTTTCAAGGTAACTTCAACACCATTAAGAATTAACATTCTAAATATGTAAAGCTATAGAAGGAAGGTCGTGCCTATTCTCTTTGCCCCTCTCAAATCATTCTAGTCTGGTTTACCAAACAGAACCACTAGCTAGGAGGATAAAAATATATTCCCATGTTCACTAGCCATTAAATAAACATAGCCACTTGTGCAGGAAGCCTAACATTTTTACTACTTCCTAACTTTTTAAAACTTAAGGATAAGCCCATTTCCACAAGCTAACTTTATAGCTCCTTAATATTCTTAATCTGGACAGTTTACTTTGCAGACTTTGTTGGTGTCTGCCTTTTTCAATTATTTTACCCAAAAAATAGGCCATGAAAAACTTTCAAATTCAGGAAACCCCTGCAGGGAACCCTCATGGTGTGTGAGTGTGAGCACTAAGTTGAATACTCTTATTTCACAGAAATGTAGGACTGTCAGATGAGAGCTGAGTTCATTCTCTTCTTTCAGAGACAAAATTTCAAGCTGAGCAGGTTTGCAGAAAGGGTTCCCCATACAGTCATATACTAATGCTGGGAAAAAGAGAGAAAATACTACTTAATTGGGTTTTGCGGTTCCTCCAGGTGGGTTCTAGAAAGATTTGAGAGTTGTACTCTTCATTTTCAAGTCCAAGTGGCTGCAGAAATATTTCAAGAATTCCCCTGGCAAGGTAGCAAATCAGTTTCCTTTTAGATCTAAGACTCTTGTCACTTTAAGAAAAAAATTTTTCCCCAGAACCTTTCAGAGACTTGTTCATTTGTTCATGTGATGAAAATCGTCTGCTAAATAGGCTAGTTTCTGTAGCCATTTTTCTTTTCCAAAGCACTCAGCAAAAGCTGGCTGTTTTCTTGTAAGTACTTGGCAATTCACCTTTCGACTCAAATGTCCTGTAGAGAACTCTTCCTCTGATAAGTCACTGGATGTCTGATGGTGCAGGACGTTTATGTGCTGTTTGTCCAGGTTTTTGTTTTGGGTGTTTTAATTTTTTTAACATTTTTGCATAAATGGGTCTTTGATACAGGTAACCAGTTTTGTAGCATTATTCAGAACGTCACTGTATCTTCAAGTTTTTTGATATCAGCATCTCTCTGAAGAAAGCAGTGTGCTATAACGTCAACATCAGGATTTCTTTCTTTTTTTTTTTTTAATGACGCAAAATTACTTACGGAGACAACCACTGATGGGGCACCAGGAGGGTAGATAACAGACCTCTGGTTACCAGATATGATGTCACAACATTATATATTGGCCTTTGTTTTGGTAGCCTAGAAATAGAAGAAGTTTTCTTTGAATTTCATCATTTACAAATCTTACAAATGCTACAGCATGACAAATATTTGTGAAACCTGTTGACTCATCATCCTGGATAGAGAAGCTGCTGCTTTTCAGTTAATGATGCAAAACCTTTTTAGCATCATTTGAGATATCAGACTTATTGAGAATAAAGTCTTTTATTCTCAAGACTTATTGAGAATAAAGTCTTTTCAATCTTGTACTGCATCCTGCCCCAGCATTGTAATGTTATTAGATTCTCATCAACTATGCATATTTTCCTTTCCTGAGATAAGTTCTGCTACTAGATAATTCGCTTCCTAAACCTTTTGATTAAATGTGATTTTTGAACAAAAGCCTTACTGTTTTGATAGTCCAAAAGCAATTTGAAAATAATGAATATTCTTTCTTGTCAAGTGGCTGTGACTTATAGTTACAATTTCTAGTTTTGTAAGTTGCATGCCACAGACTATGCACAATGGGATAGGACAGCTTAGACTGAGTTCATATAAAACCCTTGAGGACTAGCTTTCATTATAAAGACAGAATTTCTTTGTCTCCCTTGTTGCACTAGAATACTGAAGTATACTCAGAAGACTAAAATTCTTCATCACCAACCTTTTCAGAAATGTCTGTAGCTCTGTGCCTAAAATGGCTCTCTTCTTTCTCACATCTTGCCTTCCCAAATTGCAGCACTGAACTGTCAGCTTTGTTACACACAAATGTTAATAAAATATAAAAACAGACGTAGCCAAACAAGAAAATCACAAAAGTACAAAAACTTCACCAAACAATTCACTTCTAACCTACATGTTCCACATTCTTGCAATGTTTACAACAAAGTGGCAGGGGGACAGCTGAGCTGTGGCATGTAAAAACTCCTTCCTTTGAATGAAAACTCCCCTCTGATTTTCTACTTTACAGTCAGTTCACTACAGTAAGTCAGCTGGCACTGCATAAGAGGAGCCTGGGACAGGCCAGCATCCACCTCCCCTCCCATCCTCCCCTCTTTGCAATAGTGTGGCACATGGGTCTGCCTCTACATCATTCCATAAGGGCTGAAAGATCCCTAACAAAATGATTAACAGGGCTGTGCAATCATTGTTCACTACTGTGAGAACAGCATAATGCAGCACACAAATAAAAAACTGTTTTCAGTCACAATTCAAGGTGGAACCCCAGCAACATCTCATAGAGCCCCAGTTGAGAAACCCACCTCCAGCACCAAATGGCCTCCTATGAGAGATCATTTTCATTTGATTTGGACCCTTCTGTGGCTTGACTTGCAAGTTCAGGTTTGGCTCCTCCCTCATTTACCACCTGCGGATTAGACGGTTTCGTCTGCCCCAGCACCTCAGTATTCTCTGGTACCTGCTGGTTATTTCTCCCTTCTGCTGTGTTGTTTCGATCTGATTTGTCAGCAGCTTCCAGTTTACCTTCTTTCCCATTTCCCTGCTTTGAGTTAAGCTGTGATGGATCCTTAGAGCTCTCTATCACCTCCTAGAGATTGAATTTTCTTTTTCTTTCTTTTTTTTGAATGCTCTGTTGCCAGGCTGGAGTGCAATGGCACCATCTCCCACCTCAGCTCACTGCAGCCTATGCCCCCCGGGTTCAAGCAATTCTCCTGCCTCAGCCTCCGCCCAAGTAGCTAAGACTACAGGCCTGCACCACCATGCCCAGCTAATTTTTTAATTTTTAGTGGAGATGGGGTTTCACTGTGTTGGCCAGGATGGTCTTGATCTCTTGTCCTCGTGATCTGCCCACCTCCTTGGCCTCCCAAAGTGTTGGGATTACAGGCATGAGCCACCATGCCCAACCAGAAATTGTATTTTCTAAACAACGTGTAATCTTTCAGGACACTCAGGCAACACAGCTTTGATGATTTCTACTACCACCATGTACTGTGGATTGGTGAGATCCAGTTTATTTTCTGAATTGAGGGTACACACTATTCCTCCCAATTCTTTGATAACTTCTCTATTCATGTGACTGTGTCCAGAGTTGGTTCCTTCTGGTGGGTTCGTGGTCTCACTGACTTCAAGAATGAAGCCGCAGGCCTTCCCGGTGAGTGTTACAGCCCTTAAAGGTGGCACGGACCCAAAGAGTGAGCAGCAGCAAGATTTTATTGTGAAGAGTGAAAGAACAAAGCTTCCACAGCATGTGAGGAGACCAAGTGGGTTGCCACTGCTGGCTGGGGTGGCCAACTTTTATTCCCTTATTTGTCCCCTCCCATGTCCTGTTTCTGTCCTATCAGAATGCCCTTTTCTCAATCCTCACAATGATTGGTTACTTTTAGAATCCTGCTGATTGGTCCATTTTACACACCTCTTGCTAGCTACAGAGTACTGATTGGTGCATTTTTACAGAGTGTTGATTGGTGCATTTTACAAACCTCTTGCTAGCTACAGAGCGCTGATTGGTGCATTTTACAATCCTCTTGTAAGACAGACTAGTTCTCCAAGTCCCCACTCGACCCAGGAAGTCCAGTTGGGTTCACTTCTCGTGACTGCTATTTTGAGATTTGTACACAATCTGAAACGTCCCTTTGCTTGGAGCTTTAAACCAGGGTTCCAAAAATGTTTCTGCATATTTTTTCATATCTTCTAAAAAAGCCTTGCATTTGCCTGAGATGGGTAACATTCGTAGAATAACTTGAGTCTTCTTGGTTTTGTACATATTCTGGAGAATATGATGCACCAATTTATCAGGTTCTATCCCGAGTGTCCTGATGAAGACAATGTTATTTGCTCCACTTTCCACTAACTGGAATCTTCTTAGGCTCATCTCTGTAGATGCCTTCATGTCACCAACTTCTTTCTTCAAGGCAGCCTCCACATCATCATCTTCTCCCTCACTTCCAGGGGGCTTCTGATCCTTGTCTGTAAACTTTTCCAGCCCATACGTGTCGTCGCCATATTCGTTGAGCAGGGTGTAGGCCTCCTCCACACACTTGCCCTGGTTCATGTTGCAGGTGATGAGGATGCCCCATAACCTGGGCTATAGCTGACTGGGTCCGCCAGAGTCGCAGCGCCGAGCCCACTTGGCCAGCACATACTGAGCCTTGCCTCTGCGCTTCCCGCTGCCAGGCTGAGGAGGCTGCTGGGTGGCAACCGCCATGATGTGTGCAAGCTGAGAGGAAAGAGAAACGTTTCTCCACAGCTGTTGGAGTCCTCACCTCCCGGCAAACTTCTACACGGTTTAGGGGTGTGAATAGAAGAAGTACAATGGCTTCAACATTTGGGATACATATGCCTTTTTACCTGCAGACCATGAGTAGTTTTTAATCACTTAAGTGTTTTTGTCTTCTCACAAAGGTTTCATGGACACATCTTTCTCTTTCTGAGGAGACAAATTTATTTTGAAATCCTGTTAGTGTTTCATGAAGGCATCTAGCCAATGCAGCTTCCTGGAAGGAGACTTCCTTCTTAGGAAACTAAACAAGATCCGAAAGCAATTATGCTTTGCATGGCGATCACTTAGAGTTCAGTGTGGGAAAAAACCATATATGTGTATATTAGGCGTGTGTGTGTGTATATATATATATGCAAAAGCAAAGTGATGTGTGTTTGGTAAAAGACAAAACATTTGCCTTCTGGGCACTCTATACCATTTTGGGAATGCTAAATATCACCTAGGACATGAGGCTCATGGTTTGACACTCAGCATGAAAAATACATATTAAGAAAGTGTGTTCTGGGCATAGTGGTTTGCACCTGTAATCCCAGTAGTTTGGGAGGTTGAGGTGGGTGAGGCTAGAGGTGAGCAGTTCGAGCCTCACCTCGAGGCTAGAGGTGACCAGTTGCCTGGCCAACATGGCAAAACCCTGTCTCTACTAAAAGTGCAAAAATGAGCTGGGTGTGGTAGTGCATGCATGCAATCCCAGCTACTTGGGAGGCTGAGGTAGGAGTATTACTTGAGCCCAGGAGACAGAAGGTTGCAGTGAGCTGAGATTGAGCCACTGCACTCCAGCCTGGGAGATAGAGCAAGACTTTGCCTCCAAAAAAAAAAAAAAGAAAGAAAGAAAAAAAGAAAAGAAAAGAAAAAGAAAAACAAAGTTTGTACAAACTTTATAATTTCAATAAGTAAATAAGTGTCATAAATGATTATTAGTGGAAGGATTTCTCTTTAAATTACTTGGATCATCCCTCCCCCAACCCATCACCAGTTTTTTACTTTATTTTGTAGAGGCTGCCACACTCATCTAGGGGCTGCGTCTACTAATTGATGTAAGTATTGACCACTTACAGGATTTTAGTGAAATAGTAGCCTCTGAAAAGTTTCCCCACTTCCTGAAAAATCCATGTACATTTATCATTTTGATATATGTATATATATACAGAAAGGTTATCAGGGCCAGGCAGATCGCTTGAGCCCAGGAATTTGAGACCAGCGTGGGTAATATGGCAAAACTCCGTCTCTACAAAAAATCACAAAAAAATTAGCCGGGTGTGGTGGTGCATGCCTGTAGTCCCAGCTACTCGGGAGGTGAGGTGGGAGGATTGAGTGACCCATGGTCACGCCACTGCACTTCAGCCTGGGAGACAGAGTGAGACCCTGTCTCAAAAAAAAAAAAAAAAAAAGGGAAAAAGAGAGAGAAAAGTTATCAGAAAGTAGGGAAAACTTTTGAAAGAGCGCTTGGATAAGATAGAAGTCAGCTGCTATCAGAGGCTAATATCCTAACTGGACTTCCATTGGCAAATATCCTGTTTTTTTTTCCCAGTGGGCAGTAGAATGTATGTTTCTTGGCTTTGCAAGAATACGAAAATATCCCATTCATTAACTTAGGTTTCATGCTTCAAATAAACAATTCCCCTGATTTCTAAGATAAGATACAGTTAGCTATGAATGCATATAGGCAGAATCTGGTGCATATGTTTATCTCAAATCCAAGGCTGTTTTTATGTTTTACAGACCATGCCCTGCAAGTCTAAGTGTTCTCGGGTAAAGTTGTCAAGGCAGGAGGCTGAGTGAGGACACACCAGCTTTACCTGCCTTGGGGCACTCCTGGGATTGATTGGTTTCCCCAGAGCCATAAAATTTTTTATTATTCTTCTGCGTGTATCAGGCCATGGAACTGTGTGGCCTTCTGGGATTTCTGCTGCTTGTAAAATGGCACAACATTTTTGTTGGCTGAAGTGCAGGGTGAGAATTGCTCATCAGCCTTGCAGAGCAACTGGAGACCTCTTTTAGGGTCATTGGTTAACCTGCACCAGAGGGCAGTTAATGAGTCAATGAAGGAAATGCTAACATTAAATTTAAATGTGTGAAGAAGGATTCCTCCAAGCATCAGATGAGCTAGATGGGGTAGGAACATTGAGAGTGAAAATCTGGGAAATAACCAAGCGCTTTGTTCTTTTCTAAGGCATGCAGAACTCATTACTGTTGATGGAAGCAAAAACAACAAGGTGGAGTGCCTTCAATAAGTCAGAGGTTAGACACCCTCTGGCTCAACTTTACTGGCCAGTCTTCATTAGGTGAGCAAAGAAGCCTCTAAAGAGAAGAAGCTTGTTTGCTCTACTGGAAGAGCAGTCATTGCTTTTATAAATAATCAATACCACATATCTTTACATATAGTTTCATCATACTTAAAAGATTTCAGCTTCTTCGTGGTATAGAAGTTACAGATGGATTAAAACCAAATGCTTAAAATTCACCCCCCCAGAGAATATGGAATTGGTCTTAGAAAATGGTAGTCTTTAAGATGAAAGGTAAGTCAGGTACTAGATATCTCTTACTGGAAAGTCCTACTGAATTCTTCTTCTGATCTAAATGAGTATAATTGAACCAGCTGGAGTAGCAAAAATAATTTCAGGTGGTATAATGCAGCAATTATAAAGCAGGCCTTGGAACTGGCAGACCAGGTGCCAAATCCCTACTAATTTCAGTGTTATTTGACAGAGTAGAATTACAGTATATAGTTTAACAAAATAGTTGTACAGAGGTTTATTCAGCTCTTTTGCTTTTAAAGAATAGTCACCAATTCCTACAATTAAAAGAATTTTAATGTATCAGTATGATACATATGCTTAGGTACACACACACACACACACACACACATATATATATATATTTATATTGGAGAAAGATCATCTCTTAGAAATCCAAGAACAGGATTCGTGATAGAACAATTTCTGGGGGAAGTGATTTGGAACCCAACACAAGTTTGGGATCCTCAGAAGTAGAAGTCCATTAATTTCACTCTGAGCACCCAGTGTTAATGTGAAGACACTATGCATCTGTTGTCTTCTCTGTGCTCCCCTGTCCACCAAAGGGCTTGTGTTTTCTGTATTTCACAATTCAGGCTCTTGAAACAGGCATTCTGGCCTGTTTGAGCACAGACTTATTGGCCAGGTCACATTTTAGCCCAATCACTAGTTTATGGATTGGCTGGTGATGGGACAGACAGGTCTTTACTCCTAATCCAATTAAAGATGTTCATTAAGAAGGCTGCCCTTCAGTGAGGGGAATGGGTGGACAGCTTCTTTTTGCTAGGGTATAATGAATGATATGCCTGACAGTCCTTGAGAGTTTGTTATGGGTAAGTTAGATCTGCATGCCATCTTACTTTCTGATTACACTTCTTCACAGTCATTGAAACACAAGTGGAAAGAAGATAAATATCCCTGTTATTTGAGAGCAAATCTTCTGAATATCCATTCCATGAAACTCAGATACCCTCTCCAGGTAAGACTTAACTTTGTAACCTATTCACGGCAGAAATGTAAACATAAAGAAATTGCCCTACACACTAGGTAAGTAACAGAGTGGAGTGAATCTTAAGCAAAAGGGTCAAGTAGGCAATGAGATTTTTTTTGTCAGAGTTATTCTTTATTTTCAAACTCAGAGGTATTTCATATACTAGCAAATTAAAGCCAGCTGCACTTTGGGAAGAAGAGGATGTTATTTAGTTGGCAGATAACCTTAAATCGCACCTTTGCCCCATAGCCTATGGCCTTGGGTAAATAAGTGAGCTTCTTTGAGCTTTAATCTCCTCAATGCCAAATGTAACTATCTGCTATGGTCTGAATGTGTTCCCCTAAATTCATGTATTAAAAACTTAATCCCCAGTGCAGCAGTGCTGAAAGGTGAGTCTCTTTGGGAGGTGTTTAGGTCGTGAGGGCTCTGCCCTTATAAATAGGTTAATGCTATCAAACTAGGACTTGATGGAGGGAGTTAGTCTCTCTTGACCATCTGACGTCCCCCATATAAGGACACAGCAAAAAAGCCCTCATCAGACACCAAATGCTGGTGCCTTGATCTTGGACTTCCCAATCCCTAGAACTGTGAGAACATAAAATTCTCTTCTTTATAAATTACCCAGTTTCAGGTATTTGGTTGTACTAGCACAAAACACACTAAGACACTATCATACAAGGTCATTGTTCTAAATATTGTATGAAAGAGGTGGGTCTATGATGGATAATTATTTCATAAGTACTAAAAAAACGATGGTGGGGCACCTAAGAACTCTCATTTTACAGATGTGGGAACTGGGGCTTGAGAATTATTTCCGTTGTTTAAGTTCAGTCAGCTTACTTAGTCAAAACTAGAACTCAGGTGTCTTGACTTCCGAGGCCAGTGTTTTTTCAAGCTACCTCTAAGTTATTCTACAGTTCCAAAAACTTGCTCTTAAGACTGTGGATGTAGCTAAAGTTATAGCTTCCAGTTTGCCTACAATGAACAAAACTATTTTTATTATTAGGCTGAATTTCTTATTTCTTTTTTTTTATTTTTTTGAGACAGAGTCTCACTCTGTCACCTAGGCTGGAGTGCAGTGGTGCTATCTCAGGTCACTGCAACCTCTATCTCCTGGGTTCAAGCTATTCTCCTGTCTCAGCCTTCTAGGTAGCTGGGACTGTAGGCATGTGTCACAATGCCTGGCTAATTTTTCTTGTTTGTTTTTTAACTAGAGACGGGATTTCACTATGTTGGTCAGGCTGGTCTCGAACTCCTGACCTCAAGTGATCTGCCCGCCTTGGCCTCCCAAAGTGCTGGGATTACAGGTGTGAACCACCATGCCTGGCCAAAGTTCTTTTTTTTTAAAAAGAGAATATATCTGGTCCTTATTTCTGTGAAGACTGAATAACTGTTAATAGCCCAAATTACTAACTGTCCTAGAGGAATGTGTTTTAATAGTAACACAAGTCTTAAAGAAGTGAAACTCCTTAGCTAGGCATCCCTGAGCCTCCCTGGCCTCTTGCAGTCACTCTGGCCACATGGCTAACCTCCTGTAGCTCTGAGATCAAGGAGTCAATCCAAGGCTTCCAACTGGCAATCAAGCTCCAGACTGAAAGGCCATGAAACACAAGTAACCTGAGCTCATCTGGCTGAGCGTCACAATCCAGAAATGTTTTTCATGCCATGCACTCCTCCGCCATGTGAGCAAAGCATGGCATGGTGCAGTGGAAACTTTGTGTAATTCATTCTATTTTAAATTACCAAGGAGTTGAATTTTTTGAAATACTAAAGGACTAGATTCTAGAAGACCTTCATAGAATACAGATGGTTTGTTCACATAATTTTTGTCTTTGCTCAGGAGTGCAAGATTTTCCAAGCACGTCTTCCTTCTTCCACTTAGAATTCCTTCACAGACTCTTGTTGTCTATTTTGTGTAAAGCACCATAGGAAATACAAAATGATATTTTATATGCTTTCTTTCCCCATAGAGCTTATTTTCCAGTTGACAAATGAATGGAGACTCCGTGAGGTCTGGAACTTTGTCTGTTTTATCCACTGTTAGGATCTCGTGCCTAGAACAGCATCTTGCAGGGAAAAGGCACCTAAGGAACATTTGTGGAATGCATGGATGAACATTAGTCATAACCAACAAACATTTATATGTCTAATATTTATTCCCCCCTCCCTCATTTTTTTCTTTAGAGATGGGGTCTTACTGTGCTGCTCAGGCTGGACTCAAACTCCTGGGCTAAGCTGATCTTCCCACCTTGGCCTTCCAAGTAAGTGGGATTACAGGCATGTGCCACAGTGCTTGACTGTGCCCCCTAGTGTTTTTTATTTTTTATTTTTTTAGATGGAGCCTTGCTCTGTTGCCCAGGCTGGAGTGCAATGGCACGATCACAGCTCACTGCAGACTCTGCCTCCCGGGTTCAAGTGATTCTCCTGCCTCAGCCACCTAAGTAACTGGGATTACAAGTGTGCACTACCACGCCCAGATAATTTTTGTTATTTTTAGTAGAGATGGGGTTTCACCATATTAGCTAGGCTGGTCTTGAACTCTTGACCTCAAGTGATCTGCCTACTTCAGCCTCCCAAAGTGCTGGGATTACAGATGTGAGCCACCGTGCCCAGTTTGTCCCCTAGTATTTTAAGTACAGTTGCTGCCTCAGTTGATTCTCACAATTCCATGAGGTACGAACTATTAATGTTTCCATTTTGAAGATGGGGAAACTGAGGCTTAGAAAGATTAACTTTTCCAGTGTTCCCCAGTGGTGATCCTAGGATTTGTAGCAAAGTCAGCTGGCCCTGAAATCTGTTCTCTTGGCCACTGTGTTCTGTTGCCTCTGAATACTATGCTGTCTTCTCCCTCAGAGTAAAATACACTCCTTACCTGTTTTTATAACCCAAATCAAGAGGTGTTTATAATGGCCTCACATCTGTGATATAAACAACAATGGGCTGGAAAGTTTTGGAGAGTCTAAACCAGATGTGGGATTAAAGCTGCCCTTGAGGGATAGGAAGGATTTGAACAGGTGAGAAGTACAGCTCTTCTTCTCACTTAGACTTCTGGGAGAAGTTGGCTTGAAAATCCTCTCGATAATGTTATTATATTATAATCTCATAAAATAGTTATTATCTTTCATCTTTCACCCAGCTTCATCATCTTAAACAGCTTGTGTGGGTGAGCATACAGTCTTGTTCATATTTCTATACAAGCTCAGCACCTAGCATGGCACCTTCTCTTTGATTTGATTGAAATTGAATTATCATTGATGGTAAGCTGGTTGGGCTTGGGAAAGTATTCATGCCAAACCTTGAATTCAGATAGACTTTTCTTTTTCATGCTTTTCTCCAACCCTTCCTCTGCTTTTGAAGAAGTCCTGAAGTAAAAAAGAACACAACTCTTCATATGAAATCATTTTTGACATCTTCAGAGATTTCCTAGGTTCTGGCCCAAGCCTGACTGTTGTTCTGTTCCACCTACATTTTTCCTACACTTGAGGGATTTCAAAAAATGTACTTAATGATTTGGACTTATTTTAATTTTCTCTAACTTATTTATTTTTTCTGAGGTTAAGAACATTTTGTAAATTCACAAACCAAAGATATTTTGCACACGATGAAAGAGTTTTTAAGAAACATTGGATCGGAGTTAGAATATTTCCCCAAGGAAAGGAAATACACAAAATAGTTACATGATTGATTGAAAAAACAAAGCGAGAGAACTAAAATATCCTCCTGAACTAGTTCCTAAGGTACACTCTTTTTCCATTCTGAAACAATGACTAGTCTGCACTGTTTGTTTTTTGAAGTGAAACTTTGGTGGGAAAATTTATAACCAAAATTTCTGTATATTTCACACTAACATTCTTTCTCTTGCCAAACATTTTGATGTGAACTCAGGCATGTATCCTCATATGTTTTCCAGCCTGTTCAGGTGTTCATCTCTCTTGTTCTCAATAAATACTACATTTTCAAGTCAAGCTTCTGGAAAGGTAGTTCGGTCATGATGTTTTTGTAGAGTGACTATAATGCAAATTTTCTTTTTATTTGTTTATAATAAGGAACACAAACCCCTGGTGTGAATTTCCCTTTCTGAGGATCTGATATTAGTAAAGAAGTTAATTTGGAAAATGTTGGCTATCTGAAGAAGACTGACAGATCATGAATGACCTAATTGGTAAGTTGACAAAGCTATTGAAATTGCTAAATTGACAGACCAAAATTGACAAATTGATAAACATTTTTTTGAGCAGTGACTATATGCAAAGCCAAACTTCCAACTGAAATTTGCTCTGTACTAAACAGAAGCAAAGATGTGGGGCTTGGAGTAGGCACCTAGTTAGCAATGTCATTCGTTATTCCTGCCAGTAGGTCACGGACAAGAATGAACTCTTCCCATCCTGTTCCTCTTTCTAACTTACTGTAACTGGGCAGTACTGTAACTGGACTCATCTCACACCCAGATCAGTCAGTTTTTATAACTGACATTTTCTAATGCATTCAGCTCCATTAGCAGTGCCACCAAATATTACTTCTGATTTCTTAGGAATTAATTCAAACTTTTTTCTCCAGATTTCATCATGCTGAGAAACAGTTCTCATGCCTGCAAGAGCTAGTATCTATTTCCATAAGTCAAATTCAAAAATATTGATAGACTTATATTTGCCCCAATGTCAGTAGCTGTCAGGGACTCAGGAGACTCTAAAGATGCATAAATAATAGTAGTAGACATAGCAATCATAATAGTAGTAAAAGTAGCAGAAATGACAGTATTTACTGGATGCTTTCTACCCAGGCACTGTGCTAAGCACTTTATTTTCAGTTACGATTTCATTTCGAAGTGACATAAAGCCCACCAAATTATTTAGTTCGGGGAAATAAGGGTATTGAAAAATGGAAGAGCTCAATAGAAGAAAGTAAATATAGCCAAGTATAGTGGCTCACGCCTGTAATCCCAGCACTTTGGGAGGCCAAGGCCAGTGGATCACCTGAGGTCAGGAGTTCACGACCAGCCTGGTCAACACGGCGAAACTCTGTCTCTACTAAAAATACAAAAAGAGGCAGGAGAATTGCCTGAAACCCGTAGGCAGAGGTTGCAGTTAGCCAAGATCACACCACTGCACTACAGCCTCGGCAACAGAGTGAGACTCCATCTCAAAAATAAATAAGCCCAGAGAAAAAATGTCAATCTATTCAATTAAAAGTGGGAAATTGAAATGATAGTCAAGAACTTCCCCTCTCAAAAAAAAAGCCCACCCAGATGGTTTCACTGGTGAGTTCTACTAAACTTTTAAAACACAATGAATTTTCTGGCTCTACCACTTGGACTGTATAAGGTTATTTTACCTCTCTGAGCCTTGATTTCTTCTTCTATAAAATGAAATTGTAACTAAAAATAAAGATAATATATGCCACTATAGCTACTGCCTCTATAATATATATGGACATTTAAATCTTTTTCTTTGTTTTGGTCTTAGCCCTTTAAAGATGACTTCCACATTGTTTGAAATTTCTATGCCCTTACTTATCTATTTTGTCTGCTTGTTCCGTCAGTTACAAAGAGAGGTGTGTTGAAGTCTCCCACTATGATTGTGGATAATTCTTTTTTTTTTTTTTTTTTTTTTTTTTAGCTGTTTCAATTTTTGCATTATAGAGTTCAAACTTATACTAGTAGGTGACCAAATTTAAAATAATTATATCTTCCTGGTGAATTGAATTTTTATCATTGTGGAAATGTTCCTTTTTGTCTTTAGTAAAACTTTTTACCTGAACACCTATTTTGTGTGACGTTAGTATAGGTATAGCAGGTGTCTGAGTCAGTTTTGTCTGCTGTAACAAAGAACCATAGACTGAGTGGCCTCTAAGCAACAGAAATTTACTCTTTGTAGTTCTGGAGGCTGGAAGTCTGAGTTCAGGGTGCCAGCATGGTTGGGTTGGAGTGAGGGCTCTCTTCCAGGTTACAGGGCTCTCTTACAGGTTACAGCTCTCTTACAAGAGAGCTGGAGAGGTCTCTTGGATCCCTTTGTAAAGGCAAACATTCTCTTCATGAGGATTCCACCTTGTTGTGCTAAATTACCTACGAAAGACCCCACCTCCTACTACCATCACACTGGGGGCGAGGATTTCAACATATGAATTTTGCAGGGACAAATTCAGTCTGTAAAACTAAGTTTTTTTGGATTTATATTTAGCATATTTTAGCTTTTTCCATCATTTTAAAAAATGATTTCACTCTTTAAAAAAAATTAAGTTGTGTGTTATGAACTGAATGTATCCCTCCAAAATTCATACCCAGAAGCCCTAACACCTTCAATGTGTCTATATTTGGAGATGGGCCTCTAAGGAAGTAATTAAGCTTAAATGAGATCATAACCACTTACCTCCTAAAAGGTAAGAGCCAAAATAAATGACCATTTGATCTCAATTTCTATTTTTTTCAGAATATTCTACCCCCAAATGCAAATAAATTTAGACATAACCCATTAATTTTATGTGAAACAGGTGCTATTCTTATTTTGATAGAAACACTAAGATAAATGGGAGCTAGAAGCAATTTTCAAAATAAAATAAGCAGGAGGGGAAACAGTTCTGTTTTCCCAGCCTCTGTTCCTGGTCTCTCATTTCTGACTCGAGGACTACCACCCTCTGGAGCCCTGAGAATCACCTTTCTGGAGTTTTGGGATATGCTGCATGTTCCTGACAAGCTAATTGCATGGACGAGGAAAATGGGATAAAAGTTGGGAAAATGGGGATAGGTTAAGGAAAGAAATAATAGATAAAAGCAATAAAGGAAAGAGAGATAAAGGAAGGCAGTATGGTGATGAGAAGGAGATCAGAAAGTAGTATTTTGTGGAAAGAAACATGTGATGACCCCGTATCAAGTAGGCAGAATGCTCCATTAAAAACACCATCACATGAAATTCTGTTATGAAGAGAGAGCATTTCAGGAACATCAGGCTATAGAATGATGAGAGGTACAAGTGCTTTAACTCATTTGCTTTATTGGTTAAATTGTATTTATATATTTAGTTTTTGTCTTATTTAATATTTTAAATGGTATACAATGTGGTATTTTGGTATATGTATACATTGTGAAATTATTGAATCAAACTAACATATCCATCACTTCACAGTTATTTTATGTGTGTGTGGTGAGAACACTTATCTACTGTCTTAGCAAATTTCAAGTCTACAATACATCATGACTAACTATAATCACCATGCTGTTGAACAGATATCCAGAACTTACTCATACTATCTGACTGAAACTTTGTACCCTTTGTTTTGTGTTTGTTTGTTTGAGACAGGGTCTTGCTGTGTTGCCCAGTGTTGTCCAGGCTGGAGTGCAGTGGCACAATCACAGCTCACTGAAGCCTCAACTTCCTGTGGTCAAGCAATCCTCTTGCCTCAGCCTCCCGAGTAAACGGTACTACAGGCACGCATCACCATGTTTGGCTAATTTTTAATATTTTTTGTAGGGACGAGGTCTCACTATGTTGCCCAGGCTGATCTTGAACTTCTGAGTTCAAGCAATCCTCCTGCCTCAGCTTCTCAATGTGCTGGAATTACAGGTGTGAGCTACCATGCCTGGCCCTGTGACTTGGTTTGGCCCTTAAGGGTATGAGTTGGATAAGAGTCTACCTCTTCCTAGCTCTGTGGCCTTACCTTTTTTTTTTTTTTTTTTTTTGAGACAGGGTCTTACTGTTACCCAGGCTGAAGTGCAGTGGCTTGATCATCGCTTACCCCAGCCTTGAACTCCTGCGTTCAAGACATCCTCACACCTCAACCTCCAGAGTAGCTGGAACTATAGGCAAGCCACTGCCATGCCCAGGTAATTTTAAAATTTTTTTGTAGAGACAAGGACTCACTATGTTGCCTAGGCTGGTCTCCGATTCCTGGACTTAGGTGATCCTCTGCCTCAGCCTTCCGAAATGCTGGAATTACAGGGGTGAGTCACCATGCCTGGCCCTTAATGTCTTTAAACTGTCATTTTCTCATTTGTTGAATGAATATCACAATAGTACCCACCTCATAGGGTAGTTCTGGGGATTAAGTAAAATATTTAGTTAAAATCTTGGCACATTGTAAGCACTCTGTAAATGTTACCTACTTCTGCTATTATCGTTGTTGTTATAATAATTATTATTATTGGCATACAGGTTGGCAATAGAAAATTATAACCCCCCCTCTAAAAAAAAAGAAAGAAAATTATAACCCTCATACTTAATTCAGCCCTAATTCGAAATTATAACTGAATCTAGCAGCTGCAAGTGGCAGCAGTTTAATGAAGAACTAGTTGTCATAACATTTAAATTATATCTATCCGTAGCTAGTTTCTATTTGTAATATAATTGAGTTTTTTCCAAGTTTGTTTGTTACAAATGGAAAAGAGCTTTGCTGTAATCATAAGAGATTTAATAGTTCCAAAGACCACTGACTTAATTTTGGATGTTCTGACTTTAAATGTGGCTGTGTAAAGCAACCTGTGTGCTTGCCATCCTTGTTTGTTGGTTTAAAAAAGTATATTTTCTTATTATGTTGGTTAAGAAAAATTATATTTGTTAGAATATGTTTCTTGTAGAAGTTAAACTTATCCATCAAACCTTATGCTGTACACACCAGCACTCTAATCATTAACTTGCTGTCCACAGTTTTTGATTTGCATCTGTGACTTCACTAGAATCTTAGTAGCCTTTGTCTCTACCAGTATATTTATAACAAACTTAATTATCCTCAGAGACTTAATTGGTAACTTAAGTGCAAGACTTTGTCACTAAAAATACAGTTTTTAGATATAAGATTATGCCTTTACAGGGTGTATTCCAAGGAAGACAAATATGTAAACATTCTTCATGTCATCAGAATGTATAATATTTTTCTGGAGTGGAAGGTTATCACTCCTATTTTCCCAAAAAGTACCAGGGGGTCAGTGACTTCTTCAAGGTCAATAGCTTCTGTCTGGAATTACCAAGACTATAACTTAAATCATCTGTTGCAGATTCCCTTTCTAGTCCATAACATTGTCGTGCAAAATTGAAATACTTACGTGACACCAAAACCAAAGAAAAACCAAACAAACCCAAAAACCAAAATCCCAAAACCCCCCAAGAAACTAACACAAAAAAACTAAATTAAAAAACCTAATTAAACCCTAAATCAGGTAGAAACACTTCAAATAATTTCTGGATGTGAGAGCTTCTCAGAGTTAATAAAGATTCCTTGCTCTATTGGATGGAATGCTAAGAAGCTATTGTGGTTGGATTGTGAACATTTATTAGCGTCTTCATGTGAGCAGCAGTAACAGTGTGCTACGTATTAAAATTACCTATTTGCTTATTTTGCCCACCCTTTTCAGATATGAGCTTTTGACATTTCAACAAAATTAATGACCAGCTTGTTTTGGGTCACCAATTTCTTGCAGTTGATTATTATTCCCCAGAAATTCCTCTGCGCCAAGTCTTATAGCCAAAATAATTATTTAACACAAGTACAGTCATGTGCCGCATAACGATGTTTCAGCCAACAATGACCGCATGTAAGACAGTGGTCCCGTAAGATTATAATGGAACATAAATAGAAACCTGATATGTAACACTTGATATTGGCTCTGCAGAATAAGTAGGGGAATGACTGATAATTCAGTTAAGGTTCTGAGACATTTGGCTTTCCACATGAAAAATATGTATAAATTAAATATATATGTATACATATACCATCAATGTTTGTGTAAATATACTCTATGATATTTGCACAGTGACAAAATGGTCTAATGTCACATTTCTCAGAACATATCTCCATCATTAAGCAACATATGCCAGGAATAATTATGAATAGGTGTAATAACTGCAAAAAGTCATGTAAAATAGATGGCGCTCCAGTGCTCAACAAATGAAGAGGATAAAGGAATGGTTTATATGTAAAGGGGTAAATGAATGTCGGTAAGAAATAGCACTCTCATGCTTCCACTTGCCAGAAGTATCACCTTTGGTCGGTTGTGGGTAATGTCAATTATTGAAATAATTAAGTGAATATAGAGAAATCCAGAGACCAAAATACTGAGCGATCAATCAGTGTGTCAGTGTCTACTCTGTGTATGACAAAACCTTCTGTGCAAAGAAACATAGATTCTATGGGAGGTGAAGGCATGTCTGAGGCACAGCTATGGTTTCCAAAGACTTCATAGTTTGATTTAGAAAGCAATATTTGATTCAGAAATACCAGAATTTTAGAGCTGGAATAAAATAGAGGAAGTTTTTGTTTTGGTTTTTTTTTTTTTTGAGATGGAGTCGTCTCACTCTGTCACCCAGGCTGGATGAATTGCAGTGGCGTGAACTCAGTTCACTGCAACCTCTGAGTTCAAATGATTCTCCTGCCTCAGCCACATGAGTAGCTGGAATTATAGGCATGCACCACCATGTGGGCCTAATTTTTTTTCTCTTTATATTTTTAGTAGAAATGGAGTTTCACCATGTTGGCCAGGCTGGTCTTGCACTCCTGACCTCAAGTGATCCACCCACCTAGGCCTACCAAAGTAGGGATTACAGGCATGAACCACCATGCCTGGCCTAATATAAAGAGAAATTATGTAATTAGAAGAGAACTTAGAGATCACCTAGCCTAATACTCATGGCTAAAAAGGTAATTTAGTGAGAACTTAAAATGTAAGCTATAATTTTAACTTACATCACAGGCCCATTCCTTCTTTTATATATTCTTTATTTTCCTCATGTCATCAGAATGTATAATATTTTTCTGGAGTGGAAGGTTATTACTCCTATTTTCCCAAAAAGTACCAGGGGGTCAATGACTTCTTCAAGGTCAATAGCTTCTGTCTGGTGATTTGTTACACAGTAATAGATAATTAATACAACCATTAGAAATGGCCAGTTAATATTGGGCTTTTAACTTGTAACATGGGGCATAATATAGTCAGATGTTTCACTTTCAAAATAAAATTTTCAAAGGGTTTATTTCTTCCTTGAATTGGATGAAAAAATTGATTTCTTTTGACATATCTGACAACATTGATATAAAACTGGCATCAAGTAACTAAAATTCTGCTAATTAAATGCATCAACAGTAATTGCTTTTCGTATGTGAAATAAAATTGTTAGAAAATAATTTTAGAATCATCTTAGTGAAAAATCATGCTTCACCATGATATGCAAATGTACCTTTTGTAGTAGCACGTGATAAATCACTTTGAGCACAGTCATCTTCGAATAATTACAAATTTTTGAAGTAGATGAGACTGCTTATTTTGCAAAATTTGCTAAGTACTGATATCTCCCTGGCTCCTTCCCCTGATATATAGTAAATGTCATTTTCTTTCATTAAAGATTTTCAGTTGAGTTTAGACAAAATGAAACCAAAACTTAGGACTTGTTGGAAAAGGTTTGATGTTGTCACAGGATACTTACAGTCAATTACAACACAGGTTCAAAAAGGCTCAACTATATTTAAAATCTAATTTATGACAAGCAGCAAAGAGAAAAAGAATGTGTTGCTTTGCTGAAGTATATTTTTTGTTTGAATACCAGCTTGTTTTAAGTGTTCTGTAGCTCCGTTAGTATGAAATATCTGTGTGTAAATTGATAACTACAAAGCTTTGGATAAAATCATAAATTATATAGACATCACAATCAATTTCAAATTCATTTTGGCATCATAGCTTTCTTAAGTTAGAAAGAACACCATATTTAGCATATAATCTGTACATGCATTCATTACCTGCATTGTTGGGATTTTAAGCATGTCCACACATTCTTTGACACCTCTCTGTCCAAAAAGTGAAGTCTACTTCTCTAGCACTTGAGTGTGAGCTGGACTTAGTGGTTCATTTCCAAGGAATAGAGTATGGAAGGGAGAAAACAATAACCACATGAAGTACATGTAGACATTTATTTCAAAAAATGAAAACAAAAATGACAAAAACCAAATTATAAATATAATTAATTGAAAATTAATCTCACTTATGAATATACAGAGCAAGAAAAATTATAGTTTATTTGTAAATGAAGATTCAAAATTTGAAAAATAAAATATTTTAAATCCGCAAGTATATTATTAGTAATACGACTGATCATGACCAATTTGGGTTTATCCCAGAATGCAAGGATGGTTCAAAATTATGTAATCAACCATAATAGGGAGAGGGGGGAAGGGGGGGGAAAACATTTGCCATCTTAATAGATGTAGGAAAAGCATTTTATAAAACTCATCCACTCAGGACTTAAAAATATACGCAAATAGAAACTTCCTAACCTAATATAGTGGAAGTAGCTCAAAGCTGGGGTATATCACATTTAATGACTTAAAATATTCCATCTTAAAGTCGATCAAAAGACAAAGGTA